GATCATTGGGCATCTAACACTTGTAATAAGAATCTAGCATTGTTCCAGACATTCCGAGGTTCTTCCTCCATCCACCGCCCGGTTCAACCCCACTAGAGACAAAGCTCGTTTTTCTCCCTGTCAAGAGGTTGGTTTCAAAATCATCTCGACATCCTGGAGCGTCTGCTTGATTGTGTAGTTTTAGAACAAAATTTCTCAGTCGGTTCCAGGCGGTAGGTTGGAGACCATTATTTCCAACATCTAAATCACCGCCCCTTCCAAATCCAAATTTCGATCCCTGCTGACTGCAGGACTCGCTTATTTAAATTTAATGTCACCTTTCTCAAAGGCTGGGGGGTGTCCATTAATATCTACGCATCTCAACTATATCCTGCTAAAATTCCGTGATGGGGTTTGCTAAAATAATTTGAAATGCAGAGCACAAGGAATCGTCTGTCCGCACAGCGTCTCTCTGTCTATTCTTTCTTTGATAAGGAGGACTCCCCTGGCTTTATTCCTGCTCAATGTATTCTCTGCATGTCACCAAAGTAGACTCACGAGCATACGTTTTTTAGTCTCTCTACATCTTAAACCCAAATCTCTGCTACATTTCGACTACGAACCCACTGAAATTTCCTCGTTAATAGAATAGCTGACCTGGGCCGAGCCACAGGACCAACCAAAAAGGAACGACAGGAAAAACCAAACTTGCGTTTTCCATATCGTTCTCCTCGATAATCTGATGTTAAAGGCAAACAATACCGCGGTTTTTCTGTCGAGTAAAAAAGTGTAAAATATATCTCCAAGCAACAAGAGAGAGTCAGAGACATATTACAAAAGCAAAGAACTGAAAATAGTCCAAAGCGCAGATAGTGTTTCTGGATCTCGACTCTAACCATTCAGCTGGGCCTGTAATCTAGTATCCGTCCATTACTCGCAGTCCTGGCGTTTTAGATGGAGAGAACACTGTGATAACTACTAATCTTCCTGGATGAGTAACATCGCTGGACTACAGCGCATCCCTAAGGAGTCACAATGCAAAAACATGGCAGGCAAACAGTTGTTAAACAAGTAAACCGAGTTTCGTGTAGCGCCCATGATGACGATTAAACAACAAACAGAAATTGAATAGTCTTTATGGTTGAGAAAACATAAAAAATGCCACCTACGTCCTAAAAATTGGCTGCAATCGCACTCCTGTAAATTATTTTAAAGAAAGTCTGCTGCATCTACATACATTTTCTTCATGCACGTCAAGCGTACGGTAAGTAGGATAGGATACTACGACACACATTACACATTACATGTTCCAACAAACAAATGAACAATCACGGACCTTCTATTTCCGTACTTATCGTCTCGTTGCTGAATATGACATAGAGAGTAGATTTTTACTATGAACACAGGATTAAATGCCATAACATGTAACTAAAAAATAAAGAACAAAAAAGATGCAAAGCTTATAAATACACCATCTTAATGTAACTCAGCGTCTCAACACCTCATAGAGGAGAGCTCTGGTTCAGTCCAGGATGGCCTCTTTCAATTCTGTTATCCGCTGCATGGTCCCTGTAGAAACTGGGGTCCATTATCCAGCAGTTCGGGCACTACACCAGCCTCTGCCGAATACGTCACTATTTCTGGAGGTCACAGTCAGTCCTGCCCACACCTCGTAGTTGTTACACGTGCTGGAAGAAGTTCCCATGTACCAAAGTGGTTCTGAGTAACCGTGGTGCGTATAATATGGCAATCACACTCGGGAGATTGCGAGTGATACAGGCATGCCGAGACTGTCTCCATCTGTAGATTTTCACTAAGATATTAATTAACCACTACACAACACGTGAGAAGAGGAAGGAAACTACAGCCAGAAGCCAAACACCAAGTAAAAGTCAGGTTGTCATTTACTCCTCTGTCGTGTGTAAAGTCAGTGAACTCCGACAGCGCACTTCAGCGGGAAAGCTGCTCGACCACCAGCCACACTCTAACAATGCACCTCGTAGCCTGATACGAGACAGGGCCCTGCCCGTTGTCCGTCCCACTACTAACAGTCAGTCTTTGGTTTCACCTGCCATCCTTCACTCTCAGGACTAGATTGTCGCCGTGCGTTAAGCTTCTTATTTCAAATTTCATTCCCATTCTGTAAGCCAACCACAACCCTATCAACCCACAGCGTCCCTGTCTGTGGACTCCTTCCATTGCATGCTTAATATAGGAGAGCCAGGCATTCGTCCGGCGCGGTCCCAAATCAACCAGCACCACTTAGTTCACCAGATAGCCACATCTGCTGAACGCAGGCACCATTCAGCCAACCAGAGAGCCACCAGTCTGACTGAGTACAGAACCTGAGGAGGAGTTGTCGTTCCTGGTCCTGGATCAGTATTTTCACAGTCACATTGCTACTGAGTGGAGGGAGAGCCTCCATCCTGCGCTTTTGACGCGCGAAGGAAGTGGAAATCTTGATCTGCTCGTAGTCAAAGAGCGCACTGCATGGAATGACTCCACTATCCAGCACTAACTGACACGTTATGAGGCAGACTTGCGCCCACTCCTGTTAACACGAGGAGTTCCTCCGCCTTTCCAGCTACTGGTTAAGGACCACACTCGGGGTTGCATTACTCGGTTCGCAGTCAGCATCGTATGGCTTTACTTGTGAAATAATAGAGCAGGGCCTTAGGTGTTGGTGCTTTTCGTTCTACAACCTGCTCCAGGCCTTGATATTGAAGGGCTCCTTTCCTCAAAGGTGGCGCGTTGTCAATTCAACCATCAGAGATCTGTAGGTGATAGTGAACGCTGGCTGGAGAGGCAGGGGGACTCACCTCATTCAGGCAGGTACTGTTATATCTACTACTCAGAGGCTCTTCTCTCCTCGTCCTGAGGTTACACTTTGATGGTTAGGGCTATACGGTATTCAAAAACATTATTCGCGTGGCTAAATTTAATTATCAACATGACAGAGGATTTTTCATTTAAATTGACAACAGTGGGGACCTCTTGCCATTAGATACTCAGAATCTGGGTCATTTGACACCTTCATTAAAGCTATTACAGTGTTTCTTCGTAGGCTGAAATCCTCTGTGGGTACGGGACGCCTGATGTTGACTACTATTACAATACCACAAACCGAAAGCGAGGGAACAAATTCATGGAATACAAAAATTACAACAAACAACACCTCTTTTTTCCCCAGCGGTTTTCACAATTTTAATATCAATTTATTCATCTTTACTCCGACATTCTGCCACGAACGTGACCACTTTTGATCAACAGCGGGCCTTCTTATGTCCCGATGTAATAATGTTCTTTCGTCTCTTTCATTAAGGGTCCTATCTGCGGACCTTCTAATGCCCCCGCCAACATCGGCCTTGGCACTGCCATAATTATGGAACATATCACTCGACAACACATGTATCCATGCATTCCCGATTGGACCGCTAGCCCGTCACCTCTCCCCCATCTTGATGCCTTTGGCTCTGGCATCACGCAAGCGCCTTGACCTTAGCTAACGGAGGTGTGTTCCTATATTGCGGGATATTTCTCCGTGTAATGCTGTGCTTTGCTAAACAGATTTGCTGAAAGCGGCAGGCGGGCGAGTTGGGCTTCCTCGGTTAGCATTCCAAACACCAGTCACATGAATTTTGCATTGTCTCCTGTCAGTTTGTTGGTTCATCCTTACCATCCTCCGCTGTTAAACAATGATATATTGTTCTGGCATATTCTCTCGGGTCCAAAGGTTTTTGTTAAAAATCATCTCATACCTTTTGCTTACCACAGACCTCCTCTCGATGACCTTCAGTGCAGCAAATGTCTTGTTTACCAATGAGCAAGCTATTAACAGATAAATTCCGCCACGCAATAGCGGAACACTCACAAAGATTAGATTCTGATAATGACGACTACATGCGCCTTCTGATGCAGACAAAGGGCTCAAATTGGAGACGGTGACCGTACCGGTCATCTTTAGGAGTGTGTAATAGCATTAGGATTACTGTTTCTCTCGAAGTTTAATTTCATATTAACAGTTCACCAGGAGACACTGATGTGGTATTAGTAACCGGTACCAAGTCAGACTATGAAGAGAATAAACATTATCACATCCCGACATTCTGTTAGATCAATGGTGGACTCTCAGATTCAGGTGAGTTAAGTTTAATTACATTGAAGTATTATTGACGGGCTGCTCGAGAATATGACATTAGGGCCCCCTATTTGTAAATTATGATATCTCTAACATCATGGCTGTCCGTACCAGAGGATTCAGCCTCCACCAAAACAAGAAGGATTAATAGCTTTTAATGAAGTGTAAGCCATGAACCCAAGATTCTGAACTAATGGAAAAGGTGGACTGCTCCACTGTTGTAATAAATGAAAAACCTGTGCCATTGAAATTAAATTTACCAACCAATAATTCTTAGTATACTAACCAACAGGAACTAGGAAGAGGAGAAGAGCCTCTGAGTCTTATATATAACAGTGACCTGCTCTGATGTGGGAGTCCCCTCCCTCTTCCAGCAGCGTCACTATCACCTTACAGATCTCTTATGTGAATTGAACAGACGACGCCCTGTCTCTTCTTTGAGGGAAGCTCAATCTCAGCCCTCATTCAATTATTTGTACAGAAACCAAACACACCAGCCTCTCTCATATATCACAGTTTGGAAAGCCATTAGATGCTGACTGGAACCAGGAATGCCCAGTTCGTGTCTTACATTACTGGAGGATCCTCCTCGTTAACGTGCCTCTTTGTGCCAGTCTCCGTGCATACGTGTGTCCGTTAGTGCTTGATAGCTGGGGAGAGTCATCCATGGCAAGAGCTCGCACCTCTTTTGACTACTGTGAGCAGAGTTCCAAAGAATTCACACTTTCCGCGTCAAAGCGCAGGATGAGCTCTCTGTCTCTCAGTTTAGCGAATGTTACTGTGAATTAAATTACTAGATCCAGGACCAGATACGACACCCTCCTACAGGTTTCTCCTGTTACCCAGTCCAGACTGGTGGCTCTCTGGTGGCTAAATCGTGCCTCGTTCAGAGATGTGGGGGCTATATCTGTCTTGTAACCTAAAGTGGTGAGCTGTTGATGTGGACTCTGGACAGAATGCGCTGGCTTCTCCTATAATACTGCAGAAAAGCCACAGACAGGGCGCTGTTGAAGTGGGCTTACAGAATGGAGAAATTAAGAAAACTATCGCCCAAGTCACTGATAAAGATGACAGTGAAAGCAAGTATGACTGTTATAGTGGAGGACAACGGGCAGCCCTCCCTCGTTTCAGCTTACCCAGTCATTAAGTAGTTAACGTGGCCACTGGCGAACAATCTAGAGTGTGGCGGACAGCTTCCCTTGAGAATGCTGGTCTGATCGTTCCATCTGACTAATTACACACGACAAGGCGTAATTAGCGATACACAATGACAACCCTGACTTTTTAGTTCGAGTGTTGGCTCTGGCTATGAGTTAGTGTGTCCTTCCTCTTCACTGCACGTGCTTTAGAATGTTATTATATCCAGTTCGAGAAATTCTACAGATGGAGACAGTCTCGGCCATCCTGTCTTGTTTCTACTCATGAGCGAGCTTACTGCTCCCTGGTGTCTATTTTCTTCTTTTATAATAAGGTCCCAACGCGAACCGCTCCTCTTTACGCTAGCTAGTCTACACCTTTTGGCGGTGAACTCAGTGAACTCTCCAGCACCTGGAGCATCATCAGACTACTCGCGTCCCGGTTGGTATGAGCAGGTGAGCGAAGCTGACTCCCAGAAAGAGTACCTGTAAGTTTCAGGCAGAGCTCGGTTAGTCTCGAAGAACTTAAGACGTGACATCTAAAACCCAATCTGCGTGCTGATAATGGACCCATTCTACAGACCACTGCACGGTACAGAATGAAAAGAGCATCCTGGATGAACCAGACTCTCCTATAGTAGGTTAGACTGTTACATTAAGTTAGTATTTATACTTTTGCATCTTAATGCATTTAGTTACCATGTTATGCATTTAATTGCTGTTTTATAGTAAAAATTATCTATTCATATTCACCACCAGAGACATAGTCGAAAGAAGCCGTGATTGTTCATTATTTTTGAACCTGTAATGTGTAATGTGTGCCTATACCTATCCTACTTACCACGTTTGTGAGGAAATGTATGAATGCAGCAACTTTCTTTTAATAATTTTACAGATGCAATCTCAGCCATTTTAGGACAGGCATTTATGTTTTCTCAACATAAAACTATTTAATCTCTGTGGTTTAATCTTCATCGGGCTGCTACAAACCGATTTATTTTTAACACTTTTCCTGCAGTTTTGCATTTTGAACTCTTAGGGACGCTGTAGTCCAGCATGTTACTCAGGAAGACTATATTGTCAACAGTGTCTCTCCATCTTAAAACGCCAACGAGGAGAGGAGGATACTAGATACAGCCCACGAAGGGTTACAGTCGAGACTAAAACACTTATCTCGCTTGGAGTATTTTCATTCTATCTTGTGGAATATTTCCTGACTTTCTTCTTGTTGCTTGGAGATATATTTTACACATTTTACTCGACAGAAAAACGCGTATTGTTGCCATTAACACAATATCGAGGAGAACAATGAAACGGCAAGTACTGTTTTTCCTCTCGTTCCTTTTTGTTGGTCCTGTGCTCGGCCAGGTCAGCTATTCTATTAACGAGGAAATGTCAGTGGGTTCCGTAGTCGGAAATGTAGCAGAGGATTTGGGTTTAGATGTAGAGAGACTAAAAACACGTAATGCTCGTGTCTACTTTGGTGACAGCAGAGAATACATTGAGCTGAATAAAGCCAGGGGAGTCCTCCTTATCAAAGAAAGAATAGACAGAGAGACGCTGTGCGGACAGACGATTCCTTGTGCTCTGCACTTTCAAATTATTTTAGACAAACCCATCGAATTTTACAGGATAATAGTTGAGATCGTAGATATTAATGACAACCCCCCAGCCTTTGAGAAAGGTGACATTAAATTTAAAATAAGCGAGTCTGCAGTCACCGGATCGAAATTTGATTTGGAAGGGGCGGTGGATTTAGATGTTGGAAATAATGGTCTCCAAACCTACCGCCTGGAACCGACTGAAAATTTTGTTCTAAAACTACACAATCAAGCAGACGGCTCCAGGAATGTCGAGATGATTTTGAAACAACCTCTTGACAGGGAGAAAAACGAGCATTTGTCTCTAGTGTTGACGGCCGTGGATGGAGGAGAACCTCGGATGTCTGGAACAATGCAGATTCTTATTATAGTGTTAGATGTCAATGATAACGCACCCATTTTCACAAAGCCAATATATAAAGCCACCGTGGCAGAAAATTCACCAAAAGGCACAGTTGTGACCACAGTTAGTGCATCCGATGCAGATCACGGATCAAATGGAAGAATAACATATTCGATCAGAAATACTTTAGATGATGTCAGACATTTGTTTGCGGTGAATGAACATACTGGCGAGGTTAGATTGATTGGAAATATTGACTACGAAAAATCACGAAATTATCAAATAAATTTACGTGCAAGTGACGAGGGAGGACTAACAGACACATGCAAAGTAATAGTCGACATTATAGACGTAAATGATAATAACCCGCTGATAGATGTTATGTCTAAAACAAATGTGATATCCGAAGATATCAAAAGCCATACTGTTGTAACAATAATTAACATTCAGGACGTAGACGACGGTGAGAATGGTAAAGTCAAATGCACAATAAATGAAAATATTCCGTTCTTATTGAAGTCTACTGAAAGTAATTTCTATAGTTTAGTGACAGACAGTGAATTAGACAGAGAGAGAGCCTCTGATTATAATATAACAGTGACCTGCTCTGATGAGGGAGT